CATAGCTTCTAGCTGGGAGGTTTTCTAAGAGGCAGAAAGCTAACAGATAAAACAAGAACTCTAAGTGATCCAATTAATGTTCAAAATGCATACAGGGTTGGTGAAATAATATATTTTGAAATAGCATTTAAGTACTTCATAGGATTTAACTATAATAGATAGTGATAGAGAAAGACAATAAAAAGTCTACAGAAGCATCACTTCTGCAAGGGAACATGTGGTAGTTCAAGCTGTCATGACAGCTAGATAGATAAGTTGAAAGCAGATATTCAAGGTTATCGATTAGAGGACCACACTGTCTGCAAGCCTAACACCGTGGTGGGCACATACCTGGTGAGCAGGGAACAGCAAAGCAAACTGAAGTTAAAATGTGCATTAAGGACCACTCACTAGGAAAACTGCAGTAGCGGCCATCATCCACAGAAGCATTTACTAGGATGCAAGCAGGTTAAGGCAAGCAATGGCAGGAGGTGAGGAGCCAGGAAAGCACAGTGTATATAGTTAGCATGGCTTGTCTTGCAGAAATGTGGGGGAATTTGTTTAGGGTCACCTTAGAGAACTTTATAGGCCATCTTGTGGGATTAGTTTGCCTTCTTTGTTGTTTCCATAACAAAACCCAAAGCACTCTATAGTTCTGTGACTCCACAAAGGGCACAAATGAAAGTCAGGAGAGGGGGAGACAAATGCTGTCATTGTAAGATGAGACTAATAGGGGAGGAAAGTACCCTCATCTTGGAACATGGTGTGCCCCATACACCATCCTCACAGAGCTGTAGGAGTGGTGGAGATGCTGAAGAGATAATTGTCCCCACATGGTAACTGCGCCTTTATGGAGAGGAGAACCTGCCACAGAACAGGAGGATATTGGTTTTGTTGTGCCTGATGAAGAAAAGGAAGGGGCGGTCAGCACAGAACGTTGGAACATCAACAGCGCAGCAACATTGAATGATGACCGAAGAAGCTGCTGCAGCTTCGGTGCCTTCTTCATTGATCTCCACAACACTCTTGTGAACAAAGTTGGACAGACGCAAGTCTCTCTCTGGAGACATTCCTGATAAGTCAGCCTTGCCGCCTTGGAAGACATCCACCATTCCCAAGTGCTGAAACACAGACGCCATGTCATAATCCTCTTGTAGTTTAAATTTTGGAAAGAAAACATCAACATCAGAGCTCTTCATGATGTCTGGTTTGGTCCAGGCCATTAACTTCTCAAAAGTGAGATTGTTTTCCACCTGGTAAAGCAGAATTAGAGACTGTCAGATTCACAATTGAGGTCTTACCCAGAGGTTCATAATAACTTCCTGCTCACAGAACCCTCCATAATTCTACATGAGGCACTGCCTCTTCGCAAGGCCAGGCAGTGTGAGTGTCCAACTATCTAGCTCGCTTGTGTGTGCCTTCCCTGGTGGGCATGGAGGCCAACAGCCCAGAGGTAGGAAGACTTGGCTATCCTCTCCTAAATCCCTTCTGAGACATCTTTTATTCCTGTCTATATCCAGGTGATTATGGTTTTAGGTTGCGTTTGCTTTTGTTCTCTTGATCGAGACCTAGTTATGAAGACAATAAACCACAGATGCTAAAACAAAAATAATAAAATAAAAATTGAAAAAGACTTTTGGTGTGAGCCACACCAGAAGAAAGGTCTATCCAGGTTGAGATTCTATGGTATTTTGTGAACTGTTAAGGCATTAATGAGATATTCCCTCTAAAGGCTCACATAGTGGATTCTTATTCTGAAGCTGGTAACAACATTTTCGGAGGGTTCTATAATGTATGCATGAGGGGTCTAGCTGAATGAAGGAAGTAGTGATTGTAAGTGTGCCTATGAGGTCGTCCTTGGTCCTCAGTCCATATCTCTTCTCCTTTCTCTACTTCTTGTTCACTAAAAGGTCTGAAATCTCTGCCGCATGCACCTGTTACCATGGAAACCAAGGATGTGCCAGGTAACTTAAAATGAGTCCTCTGAATTCGTGAGCTTGCATAAATGCTTCCTCTCCTAGGTTATTCATGTCAGGCATTTTGTCAGTGATGAAAAACTAACTACCACCAGAGAAGAGATGCTACAGCGAGGGAGCTGGTGAGAAGAGCCAGGGGAGCTGTTCTGTTTACAAAGGCACCTTGGGTCATGCACACTGCCCTGTCCTCTATTCAGAGGATGGATGACAGACTGTGGGGTATCCTGCTGCAAGGAAGACCAAGATGTGCCTGACTTTGTCCTGCCCAGCTGGCTCCTCTCCTCGTCCTCTATCTTCGGTGAACTGCAATACTTTTTCTGTCTGTTTTACATTCTCAGACATTAAAACACTGGCAAAGACCATGATACAGTTCTATTTACAGAGATGGACTATTTTCCAAGCACTGTGTTAAGTTTCTTGCCCGAGTTGCCTCCATTCCATCCTATCAGGTACCATTTTCTGTTCTAGTGATGAAGTTATGTCATATGACAAGGTCACACTGCCCACAATGCGGGGGTCCCCAAACACAGGTACTGCACACAGCTTGAGGCTCAGTCTGTGGATACCACTTGCTCAAATGACAGTTGGAAAGGTAAAAACAATGAGTTTTGTTCTAAAGAGGAAGGACAATGGGGACCCTGGATTCTTCTAGAAGACATTTAGAGTGGTGACTGCTAAGGACTCTCCTGCCTCACCTGGCTGAGGTCCACACCATTATCCGGGAGCAGGATCACCAAGCTCAGCTCCTTGCCCTTATAGGGCATCTCCAGCACCTTTGCCTGTACTTCCTTCACGTAGGCGTAGTTAAATTTGTCTTCCTGATGCATCATCTGCACTGGTCTTTCTTCCTTCTGAACACACAAATAAAGGGCATAAAATATGTTATTCAAAGAGGTCAGAAGGTTTCCACATGAGCTGAAGTTAATGTCAGGCGTGAACTCAACACTCACAATGAAAACACTATTCATAGTCCAGTGAACACTTAGTCAATGTCGGTCAGCCTCGTCCTGGATTCATTTAAAAAAATCGAGCGTAAGCAGATATGGGACTGTTGTAGATAGGATTCTACAGTGGTGATAAACCACCTTGACCAAAGCAACATGAGGAAGAAAGGGTTTATTTGCTCTTACAATTCTCAGGTCACATTCCATCATTGAGGGAAGTCAGAGCAGGAACTCAGGCA